TTATTATTATATTATATTTTACTCTTATTTAAATTATTAAACTGGTCTTAGTTCAATCCATGGGGTTTTTCATATTTTATTCTAATTCTCCTCCCCATCCCCCTGTGGAGTTGCAGGGGAATGAGGGAGCGGCTGTGTGGTACTTATCTGGGGGAAACAATGTCTTAAATCAGTGCTGGGTACTTCTAAACATGGGACAGCTGAAAGTACAATTCAGTAAAGAAAAATCTAATGTACATATGCATATAAGTAACAGAGTGAACACCATGAACAACCCTCTAGCTAAGACCATGCTCATGGGAAAGGTTGAGGTGATCTCAACAGGGACAGTATAGAAACCTATAAATCTAACTTTAGGTAGCAGTTATTGGTGGATGGTAGACAAATTTAAACTTGAAATATGGGTTAAGCAGCAGAGGAAACTTAGTCAATGAAGCAGCTTCATAGATGTGGTGGACTTCTATGGAGTTGAATCTTCAGGTAAGCTTCAACTTCTGTGAAGCCAGTGTCCTCTGATGCCACCTTGCTCTTCTTGAAGTCACCCCTTAAACCAAGAACTGCTTGATTTCTATAATACATGGTGTAGCTGAGCAGGATGTTAAAATCAGGTAAAAGACAACTAACAGAAGGCTTAGTGGTTCCTTGTGGTGTTCAAATCCATGACTGCATGAAAGCCTGGAAGGATAGAGAAGGGTTCCAAAAGCACATGAAGAGGGATGTGAAAATCAGGTGTTCAGAGTAAGTTACTCTTTCTGGCTCCAAAATAAAACCTGGTGAGAGATTAAACAGGGATCAGTAAAAAGCATTGTAATGAACTGTCTTTTTTTTCCCCCCTTTAATTTTACCAAAGGGTTGGAACATCAACATGGAAAACAGTGTTGATATCAAGATAGAAAACAAGGGGGAAAGAAACCCAATAAAGCAGAATCAACTGATCAAAGCTGGCAAGAGGTTCTGCAGAGGTGTTGGGTACCTCACTGGAGACATGAAGGAATTTGGAACCTGGCTAAAAGGTAAAGCTATTTTATCGTGACTTATTAGGGGATTCCAAAGAAGAATTACATCAAAGGAGTAATAACTAACTTCTCAGTAATGTAACTCAAGTTATACTAGTGCAGAAAGAACCTCTGCCCTGATTTATTTCCATTTTGTGGGGAAAAAATCAGCCATGTGCAGAGATACACTGCTTAAATCTTGAGGATGACTGAGATGACATTTACCTCCCAACATGCCATGTACAAAGCAAATTTAATACCACAAAACATACTCTGGAATGGTTAATCTGTGTTCTGCCATTCTTCATAAGACTCCCTGTCCTTTCAGCTGAGCAGTTTCTGTCAAGCCTAATGCCACTGTGAAGTTAAATTACATATAGGTAGGTGTGCTTGGTCCCTATAATAAATCAGTAGTGGGATACACATGCGATTTGCCATCTGAAGCACAGACATCATAAATTAGCTGGTTCACATGAATCTGGTCCAGGATACTTTATAACATGGGACTCTGGCAACCACACTGTTCATCTCAGCTTTCCAGCTGTAAGACTTCACTACAGACCATAATAAATCCCAGTCACGCTTCACAGTCTTATTGATTCATTGCTTCAGTTGTGCTGCCAAGTTCCACTGCCAAAACTCTTCCCGAGTTTCAAAAAATCAATCCCAGATCAGGACCACCTGCATATATGGTTGGTTTGGTTTTCTATTACTATTTAGTTTGATCTCTTCCAGATAAACCTCTCATGATCCAGTTTGTTGACTGGGTGCTGCGTGGAATATCCCAGGTGATGTTTGTCAACAATCCCATCAGTGGGATCGTTGTCGTTGCTGGCTTCCTGATGCAGAACCCATGGTGGACACTTACAGGCTGTTTAGGAAGTGTTGTCTCCACTTTAACAGCACTTATTCTGGGTCAGGATAGGTAAGTCCATTGTTTTCCCCTTCAAATCCAGACTGTCACTTCAGTGCTGACTTACGTGTTAAACAAGCGACATGGAGTAAAGCACATTCCTGGCTAATAGTCTGGTCTGGTAGAACCAGGCAAATCTTCCCATCAGCTTTATCTGGTGCAAAAGGACACTGGATATAATTGTAGAAAAGGTAGTTGCTGAGATGACATGGGACTCAAGAATGGGAAATCAAAGGTCAGTTGCATGACCCTTGGCAGATCTTCATCACAGAGAGTTCAGGGAGGGATAGGCTGATGCAGGCATTGGGAGTAGGGGGTGATGTGAGCAAAGCATCTGCAAAGGAGAAGGTTTCAAGATACTCATTCCCTTCACACAGGTCAGCCATAGCAGCAGGCCTGTATGGCTACAACGGGCTCTTGGTGGGATTGCTCATGGCCATCTTCTCTGATAAGGGAGACTACCACTGGTGGCTTCTACTGCCTGTAGCACTGGTGTCCATGACATGGTAAGTTAGATGGCTCCTCTGCTTCTTATTCCAGCCCCAGAGCCATCACACTGGGACTGAACTGTTGTATTTTTATGCACTATGCAGACAACAGCGGAAAAGAAACACAACAGTCACATGTGTGTTACTAAGTCTGTAGCATTATTTTAAAATCAAATACAATCAGGAAACAAAGAAAATACCCACATAATCACAAATAAGCCCAATGGGGAAAAGGAAAATTGATGGCTGACCATGGGTAATGCAATGTCCTAAATGTTAGCCATATTACTATGATGAGTCAATTCATTTTTGTTTCAAGAGGAGCATTATTTTAACAGAGGAGATTTAGCATAACTTTGATGTCAGCCTTTCCTTCTGATCCATAAGCTTTAATAAGGAAGGACACACAGTTCACTCAGACCTGGCTTGGGTGTCCTAAATTCAGTCTACTTCAAGAACTAAATTAAAAAAGTAAGCACTGCAACTGATCTGGGAATAACTTCATTAAATCACTGGATTCTGCAGTGAGAGTGGAGGGTCTTCTCTCCTTCATGGTCACCAAATTCATCACATATATTGCATATATATGCAATGTAGAGACTCCAGTGGTGCATAACACCACTGGAATCTGTACATAGATAGTTGCATGGGGAAGAGTAGGAAATTAATTTACTGAGTGACCCCAGAATATCTCTGATTTTGTCATAAAGACTGAAGAAATTAGACAGCTGTTTTTAAAGAAATAGAGTGAATTTCCTGCAGAGTGGTGCTGTTTTTGTTGGGGTTGGGAGTTTTGCCTAGCTGACAAGCTCCTAGTAAGACAATTTTGATCTTCTTTCAGCCCTGTTTTCACCAGTGCTTTAGGCTCAGTCTTCTCTAAGTGGGATCTGCCTGTTCTCACCTTGCCTTTCAACTTGGCCTTGACCCTCTACCTGGCTGCATCAGGACCCCATAACCTCTTCTTCCCTACAATTGTCATTCAGCCTGCAACAGCAACACCAAATATCACCTGGACAGATGCTGAACTGCCAATGGTAAGATGTCTTAAAGATAACAGCCTCCTCCATCTACAAAGGAAACCACTATAGAATGATAATATCTTCCTTTATGTTGCCATATTATGGCCTGGCAATACAAAATTGCATTTATAAGATAGCTATTATCCAAATAATAATAATATTATAAACCAATAAAGGTTTATTTTAGGAATTAACATTCTTGATAGCCTGAAAATGAGAATGTTTTTGGCATCTTTCATTTGCAATTGCATCTAAATATATATATATATATCAAAATTTTCAAAGAGTCTGTAGAATCTAATTACCATTACTGTGTATATACTGATCAGTACCCCATAGTTAAGGTTGTGCTGAGACTACCAGTTAACTCACGGGTTAATTTTAGTTTTCCATGTACAGAGTGCTGTGTTTTTAAAATTTCATCTTTCTGATTAGAAATGAGCAAGCAGATATTTCTGTGGAAGAATGGTTACAAACTTGGGTGCAGGCACACATTCACATATTTTAAGTTAATATTCAAGTGGGATTTTTCCAAAGGAACATTTTATTCTACTGCATAGCGCCACAAACAATATAGATACTAGAGTAATAGCTTTCCCCCATGCCTCAGCAGGCTATTTTTAGGTGTTCCCAGGGAGTGATTAAGAAAAGGAAGTTAATTGATACTAAATGGCAATCCCCGCAAGTGACATTTCTCAAAGAACATTTACCATGGTGAAATGGACTGTTCCACACTGAGGAATACAATGTTTTGAGGAAAAGCGTCTTGAAACCATTGCTAAAATGTGAACAACTTGGGCTCTGTTCCATCAACCCAGCAACTCGCATTCATATTCCTAGTGAATCCCAACAGAGTTTCAGGTGTATAAGTAGATCAGGTATATAGCCTTACCTGAGTGAAGTCTTGTAATTCCAGCCAAGCCATCGGCCATTTTACCCTTGGATCTGCCCACTCAGAGAAATCACAGAATTAACCAGGTTGTAAAAGACCTTTAAGATCATCAAGTCCAACCTTCACCCCAGGACCTTTACTAAGGCCACCACTAAACCATGTCACTAAGGGTCTCATCTACACAGTTTTTTGAATACTTCCCAGGGATTCCGGTGATTCCATCACTTCCTGTTCCAATGCCTGATCACCCTCCAGCTTGAGGAGAATGTCTTCTGAAAGGCATCATCTCTCTGAGCACTTCCATTTCCTAGATTCACAGCATGCAAAAGTGGCCAAGCCAGCAGCATGTATAAAGATTATGAGCAAACCCTTTCACAAAAGACATTTACCTTTGATATTAGAGCAAAAACCTGGCAGAGGAGCTCATGGATAGGGAGCAAGGCATGACTCATTTTCATTGAAGAGGAAACCCTATAGAAATGCCCTGTTGCCTCCCGAGCAATGTCCAAACTTTCCACTTACAGTCCAGAAAGCCAGACTGCATCCAACAAACACCAAACATGAACCTGGCCAAGAAAGATAAGTACTAAAAAAAAAATAAAAATTACAAAGCCAATAAGAAAATCACTTTTTTTTTCTTTTTTTCCATTTCTGCAGCTCCTGCAATCCATTCCAGTTGGAGTGGGTCAGGTTTATGGCTGTGATAACCCCTGGACTGGGGGAATCTTCCTGATTGCTTTATTTATGTCTTCTCCTCTCATTTGCTTGCATGCAGCAATTGGATCAGCAGTGGGGATGCTGGCAGGTAAGGATTTAACATGAGTCACTAATTTTATAAAAGCATGGCAAATAAAAGGAACCACAATGATACAGTCACAAATGTTTCCTCCATTGGAAAGAGCTTGGAAAAAAAAATATATACATAAGCTTCTGTCTTAAGAATTCTTTTGACTGATTTCCCCATTCCCTACCTCATTTTGTGATGGTGGAAACCTTTGTAACATTTGGTTGTGGAAAACTAGTGGACTTACTGATGGTGGAAATCTTCAGAAGAAAAAAGCGTATTTTTGGCTGAAATGAATTTTTTTCATTAAATACTTCATTTCTGGATATATTCTGATGGGTTTAGGAGCAGCTGACTAAAAATGACAGCCATAAGTCTGAATGTGCAGGCCTTAGGGATACATTTAAGGTTCACACATATGCTCATTCACTCATGTATCTTCTGAAATCACATGGCCAAATTCAGCTCAGTAGCACCTGAGAAATGCTGTCCTGATTGTATTAGATTAAAGTGTCTTTAGTCTTAGACTGTAGCAACACAACTACAAATGGGAACTTCATGTATGCATGCTGGCTAGAGCCCTTAAAAAGCTGGATTCATGCCATTTCTCAGCAGCTTTTATCTCTTTGGTGAAGGAATGACAAATCTTTAACTTATTTTCCAGCACTGAGCTTAGCAACACCTTTTAGCAAAATCTACTGTGGCTTGTGGGGCTACAACAGCTCCCTCTCATGCATTGCCATTGGAGGTATGTTCTACGCTTTCACCTGGCAGACACATTTGCTGGCAATTGCCTGTGGTACGTACCCTATGGATTTTCTCCACTGCCCCGTTTCCTTACAAGATGCACTTATACTAGAGGTGGGATGGAGCCTGAGGGCCACCTCTAGACAGGCAGATGGAGTTAGGCAAGACCAATGAATGATGGAGTCGGATGTTGGAGCCTTTGTTCTAATGTACTCTGAGAAAATAAAAGCAGTTCTTTCTCTTCCAGACAAGAGTTGTGCTCAAAATGAGAGATGTGAGCAGTGGGTGCTGATTAACTAAGGTCTTTGAAATTAGATGCTTAATTTTGAGGCATTAATTGTGTTTGTTCAACATTGCTGGATGAATTGTATTTTTTTTTCCAATCATAGATACCAGCTCAAATTCCTTCTTTGGAGGAGGACATATCTAAACTTTGAGAAAACAGGAGCTCAAGATCGGCCCGCATGTGTAGCTAGACAATAAAGTTTCCCAGTCTATTGAAATAGATACCAAAGGCATGAGTTAGGCAACACAGAATGATTGAAGAATTATTTATAAGGCAATTCCATGTGATATTTCAATATCACAGTGAGCTGGGAGTGAAACTATTGCTCATTCAGTGCTCATATAAAAAAGATACAGCTTTGTATCTCATTGACCCACCTTCTAGCCCTAGAGGCAGGAGAGATGGGGGGGAAATGGTTATTTTCCCATTTAACCCAATCCATCAAGCTACACACTTTCCATGTAAGTGCATTTTCCAAAAGCCTCTGTTTTCATAGTCAATTTGTCATCACTCCAGTTCTTTTTTTGTTTTGCCCTTTCCTTGAGCTCCAGGTTGGGGGGGACACAGTGCAAAGGAAAGAGCTTTTAAGAGGGGGATTATGCCCAGGCATGGTAATAGACCATGAGCTACCTAAGGCAGTGTGGCAGATGTTTGTCTTTGCTCTTTCCTCCATGAGAAACTGAACTCACCAGGAACTACCTTATTCCTTTTTACAGCGCTCTTCACTGCCTACCTGGGAGCAGCAGTGACTAACATGTTGTCTGTGGTAAGTAATGTACCAGCTAAGGCCTTGTTCCCAACAAAGATTTGAACACTGTGTATTTTCCTGGCTCGTCAGGCAAAACACCAAGACATGGAGAATCATTAAGCCAAAGGCAGAAATAATCCAGGAGAGGGGATACCATCTGCCCAGGGCTTTGGTGTGGTTCCCACTGATACAGGCCACTCACAACTTTTCTCCTTGGAGCTTGCATGAACTTCCACAGCTCAGCCGGCAACACCTCCGAGATAATTATCCTTTGTGCCTGAAGTGCCAGAAGTGATTGAGGAAAGGGCCCTCCACATGTGTAAACAAACCTCAAATTTGGTTTAATTGGTCTGCCCAAGTGCCAAAAGGCAGCCAGTACAACTGGCCAGGGAAAAGCTGAATGCCTCTGGTATCCACTCCTATCTTGTCTCCATCCAAGACCACTGCAGACGCACAAAGAGAAGGCAGCCTTCTCACCACAGCTGGTAGATGTTGCAGGTTAACGCACAGTGTCAAGATCCCATAAAGAAACCCTACCTCCCCAGGGAAGAAATTCCACGCAAAACCAAGTCAAGATTTCCTTGAGAAAGCTTTTTTCCAAGCTACCTGGCTCTGAGTTTTGTTCAAGGGTTGAGGGATGAAATGAAAGAAAGATGCACAGTAAAGCAGTGGTTTGTATTTTTCTTTGCAGTTTGGAGTACCATCAGGAACCTGGGCTTTTTGCTTGTCTGCACTGACCTTCCTGTTGATAACTACAAACAACTCTGCCATCTACAAACTGCCACTCTCCAAAGTCACCTATCCAGAAGCCAATCGAGTCTATTACCTGAAGATGAAGAAACATCAGAGATCTTGCTGTGATGTATGAAGACCCAAGAAGAGAGATACTTTGCAGGTTTTAAGGCAAGAGAACAAGGTGTTCCCCCCACCCCCGCACCCCCCCCCCCCACAACAACAAC